GCAGAATTCATACTTTAGTGACATGCATTTGAATGCCTTTAAAAATATATTTTATTTATTATTTTTATTTTATGTGTGCGAATGTATTTCCTGCATGTATGTGAGTGCACCTGTGTCGTGCAATGCCAGCAGAGGTCAGAAGAGGGCTTCGGGTTCCCCTGGAACTGGCGTTAAGGACAGTTTGTTGCCATGTGGGTGCTGGGAATCAAACCCAGGTCCTCTGCAAGAGCAGTCAGTGCCCTTAACCACTGAGCCAACTCTCCAGCCCTTGAATGCCTTTTAATATTCAAGATCTTTTTTCCTTAGGAATTTCATTAAATGACTCTGTGAAGTTTCTATTATTATTTCAATTTATAAAGGAAGAACTTGAGACTCACAGCCCACAGAAATAGTTCAAACTGTATTCATTCATTCATCAAGTGATTATTGTCTATTATATGTCTATTATAGGGTGGTAGTTGGTATTACCCACTATCTTCCTTGAAAGGTTGACGGGAAAGATTTGATTTTTCAAACCAATAAAAGTGGCCAGGAGATGAGATGTAAGGGGGAAACTGTGGCTTTACATAAGGAAAAAAGTTCTAATAATTTTTCCTGCTCCATGAAGGAATCAACTACCTTTCACCCCAGAGAATTGTGGTAATCAAGCGGATGCCCTGCTGAAAACGCTTTATTGGATAGTTCTTTTAAAATTCTTCTTCTGGTATAAATTAGATGACACTTCACCTCCCTCTAACTCTAAAGTGCAATACATACTACAGCTGTATCCCAAACAAATCAGTACAATATGGCCTCATTTGAAAGAAAGGCTGGTACCAACAGTTCAGCACCGAGGACAGTGCCATCACATCTGGTTCTGCCTTATAATCTGCAAGGAAGTGTAGAGGAGTAAAAACAAGACCACTAATCAGACAAGATTTCAACATAAGTACCCTTGAACAACTCAGACTTCATGAAAATGCCTACAAGGACCCTGAACATCTTATAATGCACACCTTGCTTAAATTCTCTCTGGCATGCATGGGGCTGGGAAAAATACACCCACATTCACAGATCACTATAAAACTGCCTTTATCCTCACACAATAGTCAACATTTAATGAGTGACTTCACACCACTAAAACTAGTAATTAATCATTGGACAAGTTATTTCACTTACTTAATTTTGATCTTTCCCCCACTAGAATACGAACATTGTATGAGTAGAGCTTTGCCTCACTGCTGTATTTCCAGAATATGTTTTATCTTTTTGACACAGTGTGTTCTTGATAGATGTTATTTTAACTAATCAAACGTATCTAAATATCTAATGTTTTAATAGCTTAATTAAAGTCACACAGCCACCAGGGTTTTGAATGCAGTCAGTCTGATTGTAAAGGCTGAATTCACAATCACTCTGCAAGGCTGACAAATTATCCTAATACCCAAAGAATGAAGATTCCTGGTCCTAAGTTCTCTTGCCTTGTCCTGAGCAAAACTTGTAGATGGAGTACAGATGAGCAAAAATGGCTGATAGTAAATTATTCAACCTAACTCATAACCATCCTACAGCAAATGAATATTTTCCCATCTTTAAGTTGCTTTAGTTTCATAGGACCGACTCATTATTTCTTTTTAAAAATATTTTATTTATTTTTAAATTTTATGTGTATGTGTGTATTGCCTCCATGCATATAAGTGTACCTGTGTCATTCAGTGTTGGCAGAGGTCAGAGGAGGGCGCCAAATTCTCCTGGAACTTGAGTTATAGACAGTTGTTAACCACCATGTTGGTGTTGGGAATTGGACCCAGGTCCTCTGCAAGAGCAGCCAGTGCTCTTACGGCTGAGACATCTCTCCAGTCCCATCCTTTCCTTCTTTAAACATTTTTATTAAAATTTTGCAGTTTTTGAACTCACAGCAATGGTTGCAGCGTGCGTATGTCCTATGCAAACTCAAAGCAAACAAAAATGGGGGAGTGGGTAAGAAATTCCAACTCATCCTTGGCTTTATTTTATTTTATTTTTTCATCCTTTGCTTTTAACATTGTAATGATACAGGGTTTCCTTCAGTTCTGGCTTTTACTTTACTCAAGCTCTTTTTCCCTTTTATGAAGGGAAAACACTCTATTTTTCATCATCAAATCTAATACTTTTGTCTGGTATCACAGTTGCAGGTTTTCAAGTTCCTTAATAGTTCCTTTTGTTTTCTCTGTAGATTAACTTTTGGATTTCCTATGGTAGATAAAAAGACCTCATATATGATGCTTAAAAATTCTCAGTATTTAGGTTAAAAGAGTCACTATTTATTCTTTATGAGAAAATTAGCAGATTTTTGTTGATGTATTGTGGTCTTCCAACATGTTCTAAGTTTTTGCTGACACAAACATGAATTATAGACCTAAATCACAGTTGTTAATTTTTACGTTATGCATCTTCTCTTTAAGCAATTATTTTTCACATTAACCTTCTGTTTTCTAAAGTGTTCAGACAAGTATTTAGCATTAATGCATTGTCTCATTAGTCTGATGCTCACTCTGGATCTTTTCATTCCATACTTCTCTATTCTTGGTTTCTTTGTTTTGATTCATTGCTTGGCCAATTGCTCTTTGAATGATTTATGAGACGCAGGCTGTGGAGGGTAGCTCTGTATACCGAGCAATCTTCCTGATGTATCTACACAAAAACAATGAGCTTGGCTGTTAGGCGTTTGTGGCTGTTCACTCTCCAAAGCCACACCAGTCGGGCTGTACTGTCTCCTGATCTCTATGATATACAGGAGCAGAGAGGAGCCAGGTAAATGTTTGTTAGCGTAGGAATGGATAGTCTGCTCCTATGACCTCTTCATTCAGATTTTTTCAGAAAAGACTTAATATTAAAGACAGTGATTGAAAGCATAGTGAGCCCCTTCCCACATCTAATTGCTTCCTTTCTCTGTTTGTGTGAGGCCACCCCCTTCCCAAGAGAACTTTGCATAAGTGTGTATCCAATCCTTCTCCTGCTTGTGTGTCATTGCTTGGAGCTGTAGTTGAACAATGTGAGGAAACATGATGAGAAGCATAAATAATTCAAAGGCTTTGTTTATCTTGGAACCACCTTTAAGATAAAGCAGCTTGAGTACCTGATTTCTTTTCTCTAAGTGTGAAAATGCTGTTTTGAAGAGAGGGGCTATAATGTAGTGTCTGAGGAGAAAACCGTCCACCAGATGCCCTGTGTCACGTCATCCCATTGAGAGCCATTCATACTTGGGGTAGAAAAGTATTTGGGACAATTTGTCTTTAGTTCTGTAGTACTGGTCTATTGCTAGGTTTAGGAGTAGTATCTGTGTGGGAATGTGCCAAGGAGAGAGTGGAGCGAAGGGCCCTCTTTCATCATTATCTGCATGGAAGCATAACCATATCCCTTCCTATGTACTGAGAGCAGAGAAAGCCATGCTTTATCTGGGAGTTGGTGCTAAAGCACTACGCAGGCCAGCATGATCTGTAAAGATCTAAAACCAAGATGGCCCTCAGATGCTTTGGTCCATCTTTATGTCTCCCTGCCCAGTACATCAGTGTTACATGCAGAGGGAGAACCAGATGGACAGGTGGAAGGCAGTCTGGCAGCTTCCCTTTGTAGCTTTATATTCTCAGTAAGGAGTGTTGCCTGAACCAGTAATAAATGCAAAAGTAAAATATCAAAGTGGAATTTAAATGGGCATGTGGATATTTTAAATGTTAATTAGCTCTTCAACCTCATTTTTTTTCCCAGGCAATGAATGTCACTGACAGACTAATCTATCTTGACCACCCAGAGCCTACCCAGGCTGTTCTCTACACACTTCACCAAATCATACTTTGGTTTCAGTCCTTGTTTTTCAGTGAGTGTCTCACTTCTGCGGATACATTGCATGACACAGCAGATGCCAGACTTCCTCCCATGTCTGTAAGCTCTTGGAGGGTGCATACTAACCATAATATAAACCACGGGGATTTGCAAATGATAGAGGTCATTATATGTTTGCTGAACAAATTATGAAAGCCTGAAGTATGTCCACAAAACCACCCTGGAAGGAAAATACTAGCTTATACTATAACAAGCACTGGCAGAAAAGAAGACCAGATGGGTGTGCTTTAAGAGCAAGGAAGTAGAAGATAGTAATGATCTTATGCAATGGGGGAAAAAACCAGCAACCTTAAAGTGACAGCATTTGTTCTACAAACTCTCAAAAAAGTATAAAACAAGAATACTGGGCAGAAGTGACCATCGAAGAGATACTTAGATAACTACACTACAAAGCTTTCTTAGAGCCACAATTCCCACACTACCACCCCAAGTCAGCAAAGCCAGTTCTCTGGCATTGCAGATATTAAAAAACAAGCACTAATATCATTTTACTGCAATGTGGTAATACTGATTGAAGCACTATTGGGTGAAGGGTGAGTGGGGATGGATGAAAAGGTGATGGGCAGCCTTTAAGATATTGTCCAGCCTTGTGACTGTATGATGTTAAGACTGGCCCTGCTGCTGGACCAAGGGGAAACTTCACACAAAAATAGTTACCTTGTTTTTAAGAAAAAAAACTATTTTTAATGTGAGTCATGGTAGTGATGGGGAGGAGTTTCACATATTCCTTATGCATCCAGACTACACACTGGTAATTGGTAGCACTACAAAAAAGCAATCAGAATTCAGGACATGTGATTTGCCCCAAAGAAGCACCTTCTCCATACTCTAATACAAGTGTTGACAAACGTTTTCCATTAGAAGCCATATGAATGCTTTAGGCCTTATGGGGTAGTCAGTATCTGTGGGAATTCCCCAACTTTACTGCTAAGCATTAACTATCAACAATATGCAAATGAAGAGGCGTAGTTATACTAAAACACACAAACAAAAATCAATCTTATCCCTAAACCCCAAAAGGCATGGAGCTGGACTTGGCCCATGGGCCTTGGGCTGTGAATTCTGCTCTAAAGTCTCATTGTGCTCTCACTTGAGAAGGGGAACATCCAAGTGAGGTAAGCAATGGTCTCTGTACTTACTCCATTTGCTTTGCTGAGTGCCTGGAAGTAGATGCTGTAGCTTTTCAGAGGGGAGAGAGGAGGATTCCAATAGCCATTATACGTCTTGTTGTCTCCTACTGTAAAGGGCTGGGTGACAGGCAGGTTGGAGGGCTTCAACTCGGCAGCAAAGTAGTGTAAAGAATCAAGGCTGGAGGCATTCCGGTAACTCACAGGTACTGAGAAGCATTCGATGATGTCAGCTGCTCTCCGGGACTTCTGAAGTCGCTCCTCCTTGACAACCAGCTGGTAAACACTGGACAAGAAAGAGGAGAGACTGATGAGTCACTCTGGATGGATGGACTCACTAGTATTTTGGGTGTTGTCACAACTCTCACTGTGTGGAAACATCAATTCTGAGTACAAAAAACCCTTACTACACTTTCATATTTTCAAACCCACTGCTTTGTAGAAACCAATCTCCATGCAGAGAGCCCAATGCTAGTTCATACAAGACACATCCAAAATTCATCTCAGCTCCAATTCCTATAAACCCGCTGGCCCTCCTTCTAGTTGACTTTCCTTTGTGAAGGATACCACCAACTGACAGGTGCCCAGATCTGACTCTAGTCTCGTTCTTTTTCTCACTCTTCACCTTTAATCAACAAGCCTCATGGCTCTGACTTCTGCAGTGTTGCACCTGCCCTGCCCCTCTACTTCTCCCCACCATCAATGATACACTTTCTGCCTCTCACTGGGACTCGGCTGGTCTTTTTGACCACCATTTGATCATTCCATCCACTGAGCTTCTGATCATACAACACCATCTCACTTCAAACTCTTCCACACCTTTTCTTTTGTACAAATTATACAATCTAAACTTCTCATCCTGGCAGTGGAAGTCTGATGTGTTTGGCTTCCAGCTTTCCTTTCAGACAATTGTCTCGTGATACCACACTCATTCCAAAGGCTCCCGACTTCAAGTTCTTACATAAACATTCTTTGGACTGCACAACATCAGCGGATCTTCTCTTGAGGCACTGCTCGCTTCAATCACTCCAGATCTCATGGTATTAATGAACTTCCTCTGGACTGCCCTATACCATTACCAGCTTGTGCTTCCTCTACCTGAAATATTCTTTCATCCTGGCTACTTCTGCCTATAAAGCCTTTCTATAAAACCCAATCTTTTACTTGAAGTCTGTTCAGGTCTGCCTAGCATGAGTTATTCCCAGATCATTAATCATTATCTGGTTGGTTGGTTGTTGATTTTCAGTAGCGTAAGATGAGACCAGTGCCTTGCCTGATCAACTGTGTCCTACGAAAGTGAAAGTGGTGGCTAAGTTACCTCTGAATCATTCTCTCAATATGTGTGCATGTGTGTGTATACACACACACACACACACAGAGAGAGAGAGAGAGAGAGAGAGAGAGAGAGAGAGAGAGAGAGACACCACAGCTCAGGAGCATGTCTGACACCAAGCAAATGATCAATAAATGCTTATTCAAACTAATAGACCGAATTTGGGCTAAAACCAAGCATGAAGCCAAATCTGATTGGATGAAGAAACTTTAATCAAGGTAAACAGAGAGTCCCAGAGCTTCTATCTAGTGATTTCGTACCATTCTCTCAATTTAGAACAATGTGAGGAGGGGCTGGCTGTGCTTAGAGATAACTGCATCTTTATTTAATATCAACCATAAGCGAAGTATATAGATTCTCTTTGTAAAAGTCACTTGTAAATTTGTGAATTGGATAAAATTCTCCATCCCTTTGAATGTTCAGTGTACTCTTCTCTTGAACAAATGCCTTTTAGAAGAACTTATTGTACTCTGGGATACATGATAGAAGACAAATTACCCAAAGAGCATCCAAAAAACTAAAAAGGAGTTAAGTAAATTAATGAGGTGGTTGTAAAAGTGCCTCCAAACCTATCATTAAAAATTACATAGTGAATTACCACATGCTTTATGAAAACAGAAATGGCACAGGCTCCTGTATTTGACTGGATTATCCATCCAAAGACACTGGATTAAGAAGCAAAATTTGGATAAGACACCAAAGCTCAGGACTATTTCATTAAGTTAAAAACAGGCTTTAAAGGACTCCTCCCAAGAACATGTGGAATCTTTGATGTAGCAAGGGTACCTTGATTGTCCCTAAACACAGGGAAGGTCATTCATGTAAATAAGAATTCATGTGAGTGCATGGCACATCTGGATGAGTGTGACATTTGGGTGGAAGTGAACATACCTGTTGCATTTTGCCCACCTTTGAAGGAGAGCCTAATAGCCCAGAGTGCATGTGACACACGTGAGTGACAGGGGAGTGAATGTGGCCAGTGTTATAAGGAGCACATGCTGCAGTTGAACATCTCAGTGTCCAAAAAAGGAAATGCAGCAGGTGAGCCTCTCACCCCAAATAAAGGTAATATCCAGGGCTGGTGAGATGGTTCGGCAGGTAAAGGACATTGTTGCCTGGCAACCTGAGTTGAGCGCTGGAGCCAATGTAAAGGTGAAAGGAGGGAACCAACTTCACAGAGTTGTCCTTTGGCCTCCATACATGTATTGTGGCACCTCCCTCACATCACACATCAAGCATATATGCACAAATTACTAATTAATTAATAAGACATTAATATCCAGATGGATATGGCTGAGTCTTCGAGCTGCTAAGAAGTGTCCAGGGGAGCTAGAGAGATGGCTCAGTGGTTAAGAGCACTGGCTGCTCTTGCAGAGGACCCAGGTTCGATTCCAAGCACCCATATAGTGACGAACAACTGTTTGTAACTCCAGTTTCAAGGGAATCCAATACCCTCTTCTGACCTCTGCAGGCATTATATGACACAGGTGCAGGTGCACTTATATACATGCAGGCAATACACTCAAACACATAAAAATAAAATATTTTTAAGAAAAAAGTGTGTGTGGATAACATGAGCATGTTGTGTGTTTCAAACAGTCCATGTGAATGTATGAGAGCCATCTATGCCCATAAAGCCAGCTGAAGCCAGCCAATGTTTAAACTATGATTTCAGCTCAGTTCCTCTTGGGTCTTTCTCAAATGAAAATTCCTCATGTTTATTGTTACAGCTAAACTCAGTTATTGCCAAGTAGCACAAACACTTAAGACCCCAACTCAGAAGTCACAAGAAGGACTAGAGGGATGTGTGCAATCAATTATCAGGATCCACATAGATCTTTATGTAACAACAGCTTTATGTAATTTTTTTTATCCGTTAAAGTGCTAATAGTAACAGGATTAACTGAAGGTCCTTTATTTAAGGAACTCTTGACAATCGAGGGAAGAGAAAGAGGAAGGAAAAAGCAAAGAAGTGACAGCCAGCCTCTTCAGCTCGCCAGCTAGACTAAAAATATTGTGCATCGGATTTAGGAAAATGCACCTATGCATCCTATCCAGGCTTCATATATTCCTGACCAGGAGTCAATAGGCTCATCCCTAATTTTAGGTTTTGGGAAGAGCTGTGGGGTACTGCTCAATCCTAAGACCCTGTCTTCACCGTCTGTTAATAATGCCCATATAAGACCTTTGTCTCAGTTTCTCAACCAACCTTTTCATCCTACTTTGAATTCCTTGATCATCATTGATTAATCAACTAGACCCCAAAGCGTTGGGAGATGCCCAAAATCTGGGGCTCACTCCTAGAATCACTTCTATTATCTTTGGCTCTGCTGCAAGGGGCTGGATGAAGAAGGTCCCAAGGCTGGCTTCATGTGCTGCCCATGACTGGCATGGGAGTATGCAGATGTGGACAGCTAAGAAGACAGGTCCCTGATGAACTATGAGCATTTGAATGCTGTCAAGAACCATGGAAAAAGCACAGTATCTGCATAGCTTGGCCTCATCATCTCTAACCAGGCTGTTAAGTTTGGTTGAGTTGACAATCAGGTTGAAGAGATGAAAGTGCAGCAGCAGCTCGTGCTTTCTTCACAGTGTAGTAGTCTTTCTCTTTTTCTTTGTTCTTTTCCCACAAACCAAGACAATATACAAAGAACCACCTGAGCTGCTTTTTAAGTTGTGGCCTAAACTGCTTACTTTGTAACCAGCCTTATATGAAATCACAAAGAGGAAAAAAAATAAGGCTATTCTGGAGGTTAAGCTGTGTAGTTGACATATGGTTCAGATATGATTGGGATCATTGTGCAGAAGCAAACTCAGCAATTCCTGCAGGCCCCACTGCATCTGCAGCTTGTCCATTCAGACAAATTTGCAGTTGGAACCAGACAGTCATAAGCCTTTTCGTTGGATGAATCTGTTCGTCATTGGATTCAGCCCCTATCAAAAACCAAGGAACAAGGTCCAGCACAGTGACTTGTATGAGTTTCTGTTTCCTGAAGAAGATGCACTGGGAAGTGACAGTGGAAAGAAAAATGAAACTGGGTATTAGTTTTCTGACATTTTATTTTTTAATGTTATGTGTATGAGTGTATTTCCTGCATGTATGTAAGTGCAAGCCATGTCATACAATGCCTGTGGCTGTCAGAAGAGGGTATCAGACACCCTGGAACTGGAGTTATGAATGGTTGTTGACTACCATGTGGATGCTGGGAATTGAACTTGGGTCCTCTGCAAGAACAGCCAGTGCTCTTAACTGCTGAATATTATTTTTGTTTCCCAGAGTAACTTTATTCTCATTCTCTTGAAAATATATGTATCAAAGAGCATGTTATTTTCAATTGTCTGGCAGTGATAAGCTCATACCTAAATGAAAAGAATATTCTCAAAGTCATATCTCTAGCCCAGAAGTGGTTGCAATAAACCATTCAGAATTGTTTGTGGAGTAAGGACATTTAGTATGAAAATCTTGGTGGTGTAGGAAAAGAATAACTTCATGATGCATTTAGTCCAACATTTCGCGATTATGTCAATTTCTCTATTTACCCCAATGAGAAGATGGATATTTGTGATCTTTTCTTTGTATAACTTCCCTGAGGGTCTCACCTTGTAGAGGACCCTGAAGCCCATACTGTGCCCCCCACTCCGTCTTGTTTACTATCAGGTAGTTGCCACACAGTTAGCAAGAGTGTGTGCTTTCAGTTTCAGTGTCTCTTACCATCTGAGGCAAGAACACCCTGGTCCCAGGTTCCAAAACCCTTGGTGTCCAGAGGATGGTTTTCTTAGACACCAGTAGGAGTAGAATCTATAAGGATTCCTCCATAGGCTTTAGACAATGTCTCTTTCACTCATCCTCCTCCCTCTGATACAAATGCTAGCGGTTTAGATGCTGACATGTCTCAGACAAAATTCCTCTGACAAGACACAATCACCTTTTTGCCATTAAAAACTCTGGTACC